GGGTTTAGTCCTACAGGGTTTATCGTAAATTCTAGTATCTAATGCTTTACAAGCATAGTGTATCTGTTTTTACATTGTGTATCAATTCTGTAAGCATTATGTATATAAAAAGCGCTGCATATCTATTCAAATTAAATAAGTATTGTGTACCTGATATAATGTATTGCATAATGTATTCTCCAGAGTAAAGTTTCATCTGTAATTACTATATCATCTAATAACAAAATTTAATATTCTACAGTGTGCCTGCATGCTTTATGTATGTTTATTTGCGCATTTTACATGTCATATGTGATCTAAATGTGTCTAAATGATCTAAATGTGTCTTTAGTGTAAGTGTATACTATATATTAGCTTAAATATGTTTCATTATAAGTATGTGTTTTACTTGTATAAGTGTGTGCAAACTAGTATCTAATTTCTATTTTATATAATGTGCTTACATGTTTTTATATGTGTTATATATGTGCTTTTATATGTGTTTTACAAGTGTTTTGTATGTATCTTTATATGTGCAATTGTATGTACTTGTATGTGTATGTATATGCTGTAATTAGTGTCTAACAGTGTCTAAAAACCAAGATGTAACAAATCATCCGCCTATCGATCAAAACTAATGTATTCCTAAGACGCCTCTGTATGGCCATGTACAACTACGTAAAATTCTTCAATAAACTCCCAAGGTGGCCTCATGAGGCTCCTGGGAGTTGCTGCCACTAGATAGGGGAGGGCGCGGGACATATGCCTGTTTACCTCTGTCAAACATCAGGCGTCCCCGTCCTCCGTCACCTGTCACCACCTGTATTTTTAATGATAATTTCCCGATACATTGACAGGTTTTTCCTTGGGCTGCTATAATTTCTGTGTTTTTATTTTTAAATAACCGTAACCTATTAAAATTCTTCTTGAAAAATTTATCACTCATAAAATTACCTTCTGCTCCTGCATGAATGAGGGCTTCCACTGGTACATCGCCAACCAGAACTTGTATAATTGGTAATTGTGAATTCTTTACCACGACAGTGTTTAGGTATCTTCTTGAGGGATTTTTCGAAACTTCCGGGGTCTGGACCCTCGCTTTTACAGGCCCCTCTACTCGTTTAAAGCTTTCTTTTCAACTTCAGTGTTTTGGGTACGCGAACGGTTGTTTTCAATTTTCTCTTTTGCGCCTTGACCTTCTAGCTTCGATGAGTTGGCTTGATAGCTCTTTCCCCCATAAGAACGATTTGTGTTACCGGTCTGTTGATTTTAGAATTGCCTTCGGGGACCTTGAGATTTTTCCGCTATTCCGCCCCTCTAGATTTTTCCGCTATTCGACGGTTTTGGAACCTGACCGTCAACTCGAAGAGTTCTGCAAGGTGCTTGGATTTCGGATTTCCAAGTAATCTTGGACAGCAGGTAGCAATCTTGGTAAAATTATTTCAATTATCTCCGTGTCGGGTTTCTTTCCATACAGCATGTCTGTCAGCTTAACTTTTCGCAGAATAAAGTCCGTCAAATCTTTCATATTACGTTGATAAAAACTATAAAGTTCAGTTTCTAGCTTTGCTCGGTCTTTCACTATGGGGAAGGCCTTTAATAATGATATTTTTAAATTTTCAAAGGTATATGTTTGGCCTCCGAATTCTCCTAATAAAAAATTCCATATACTCTTCCACCATAGTGAGGCCTGACCTCTTAGTGCAGACGTGGCAATGGCAACTTTTTGTCTTTCAGGCACAGGGTATAACTAGAAGTGATTTTCGAGGCCTTCTAAGAATATCGCCACCGAATTTTTTCTGTCAAAATTGACGGTTGGCTTGATAGATGCTCTCATAGCGTTTGAACCAAGTATCCAAACCCTTCTAACTGGATGGCCATTTCTTGCTGTTAGGAGTTGTACAGGAGCTTCCATCCAGTAATTATCGGCCATCTGAGTTCGTAAGATGTTCGGGGCCGCCAATGTAATATCTAGAGGCCCCAACTTGTCAGCAAACAGCGGTAGTGATTGCTACTAAGTGTGAATTTACACAGAAACGTAAGAAAGGGTTTAAAGCCCTTTTTAATTCCAACTTTTAACAATAACAGCTGCGTTCACTTGACGCTCACAACTACGCCGACCCGGCGGTTTAACAAAACAAAATGTGAAACTAAAAAAATAATGACTGGATGAATAAATAACTAGATCACTACCTACGAGGCTCTGAAATCTTAACTAACTTAACCGCGTTCTAAAATACAGCTGAGATTCAGCGAGCTTACTGATTAAGCAGTTGAAAGATTCAGCAAACTGCCGAGATGGGACACAGGCCGAAACGCGCGGTTCTTAAATTTCTACCTAGCAACCTTCACGTTCGCGATTCAAGAAGCACACTTAAAATCTCGCTTCCCTTCTATTTAAACTCAACTTACTTCTGCTAAATTTGAATATACTGCGCGCTCTACTACAATTTACATACTCTAGCATTGGCAATTCTAGGGGAAAGTAAAGGCTTGACAGAAAAGATAGCTTAAACTTAAAATAAAATGTTAGTTAAAATAAATATAAACCCTACAACCTTACAACAGTCATGGTACACACATATGATTGTGCATAAGGCTTTATCAGTGTAGGAAGGTCTAAACCAGATGTTACAAAGTTGAAAAAAAGGAAGCAAATAGAAGGTATTGTACCTTCAAACCATCATACAAATGTCATAATGTGACTTCGTACAGGAAATAACATAGTTTATGAGTCCTTGTGACTGTCAGCCCCACTCCCATAGCAACAATTGTTGGCTATTGGACTTTTACTGAGACTGGCTAGCTTGTTATTGGAAACTGCTACTATCTGGAGATTCTGCAGCCATATCTAGAATTCATACTGGAAATGATACTGGAAATGATGCAGTTTATGAATCCCTGTGGCTGTCAGATTCCCTCCCACAACAATGCTGTTTTTAAGGATGTAGTCGGAAAAGTGAGGATATTAACTGGGTACACTGGCCAGCCCTATCTGCAGATCTTAACTATAGAACATGTCTGGGACACTCTTGGAACAAATCTGCAACTTAATCTTATCCTTCTCAGAACCCTACAGGATGTGAAAAAATTTTACTGCAGAAGTGGGACCAGCTGCCACATGGGCTAACAAACTGCCTTATTTCCAGTACGTAGTATCATTGTGAAAGTTGTATGATTGTTAGTGGGAACCTTTACCCCTATTGGCCAATTTTTGTGTTTGATATTGCAACCTCAGTTTTAGACTTTCCTACACTGATGCACCTTATGAAAGATCTTGCACTTACGCCATGATTTTTTTCTGGTATTATATTAACTTAATTCCATACCAAATACCAAATTTCATTAAAATTCGCCCCAGTTAAGTGTGAAAATTCTCTTAACAGTGAACACCGGTGTAGATTGAAAGAACTTTTATTAAGCCCATGAGTAAGCCTAAAAGATTTTTTGAGGAAAAAAAAAAAAAAAAAGATTGATGTCAGATTCGCTTATTTTGTACAGATACTCTTTCAATTTGCGTGGAAGTAATAGAATGAGGGTTAAATCTTGTTCAAATTTCCAGGCTAAGGATATTACTATTATTATGATTAAATACTTGTTTCTTCAGCCATGTCTATCAACCTTTGTAACAAGTCTGCTCTGAATAGTGCAACTGGAAGTGTTATTTACCAGATAGCAAAATCAATTTTGAACAGTTTTTTGTTGAATTTCTGTTTCTTGAGGAAACTAAAAGTACATCATGTTGTTGATCATCTTGGCTTTCTGCTTCAGTCATCTATGGTAGAAGTATTCATTAAAAGATCATCTGGATTAAGTTAGCCTTGGTTCAGATTATTCATAATTTGAATAATATGAACAAGGGCTTGTCTGTCTGCTGGACCAAACATACACACGGATTTTTTTGGATTTTTCTTGCTAAGCATCCCAGAACAAATTTTTCTTTTTCCTGCATTTCACATATTCATTAGCCCTCTTACTTACACTCTTATTTCTCCCTTAATAACTATCATAGATGCTTACTATCACAAACCATGTACAAAGTCATTTTTTATTAGTCCTTGAAAAATTTAAAGGCCATTATGCAAATGCTTAAACAAAGCTTAATTAATTAAGTGGTGTTGAAAAATATTAAGTTAGAAAATAATTTGGAATTATTAAGCTTTTTTATTTTAAAATACTAAATTCAAATTCTGAATAATACTTCAATATACCTTTCTAGCAAATTAAAAGACAGAAAAATATATTATCAATGTGCAAAGACTTTCTATACCAGTGGTTCTTAATCTGTATTGTACCATACACTCTTTTCATCACTGTTAGATGATCATCCACACCTTTTCAAAACTTAATTAATTAAGTTTTGAAAAGAATACAAGTCAAAAAATAAATTTACATTTATTTAAATTTAGATTATTTTTTAATGTGTTTAATATAATAAATTAGGAAAAGTACAAAAGATATTGATAAATACCAAAACATAATGAAAGTAATTTTTTATGTTCTTAAACTAAAACTAAATAAATAGTTAACACGCAAATAAAAAGCTGGCTGCATTCCCTGCCCTGAAACTATACACGATTTTAAACGTACTCAATAAAATTACCATAACTTTGAAATATGTTCACATTTATAAGAAAAAGTGTGAAGAACACAAATTCAATTTCACTTAATTAAATTACAACCAAAAAAACCAAGTTTAATTAAGTAACATTGAAAAAATAAATGTTTGAAATATTTTACTTCTTCATTTTTAAATATCTCAGTCACGATTAATATAAAGAATATTAATTTATAACACTTTTTCAACAAACTACAATTCCGAAAAATATACTATTAACATGAAAAACTTTCTATGCATATAATTTACAAATACGTTCTAATTTATCGAGAAAGTATGAAGAACACAAATTTAATTTTGATTAATTAACTAATATCAATAACAAGTTTAATTAAATGGTTAAAAAAATATTGGAACACAAATAATGTGAAATTATTTAATTTTTCATTTTTAAAAGTCTGAGTAAACATCCTGACACAACGAGCAGTGATTTATATATAAACTACAAGTTAGAAAAGTATACTTTCAAACTGCAAGGATTTTCTATGCATGGAATTTAAAATGTATTTCATTAATTTACCTTAGTTTCCAAATGTGTTCTGCTTTCTGAAAGAAATTTGAAGACTTCGTATTTGATTTTGTTTTCCAATATTTTGCTGAACCAAGATAACTGTAGAAAATTACAATACTAGTTCCAAAAATAAATATGTAAATCCAAGCACAGACAGTTGTTACCTGAAAATGAAAAGTTAAAGAATATATGTGTATGTGTAAAACATAAAATAAAAAAAAAAAACAAATTTACATATAGATGTTTAAATTCTTAATTTTCAGAGTACATCCTTTTTTCAATAATAGATATTGCGCCATTTTGCATCAACATTTCTCTGAATTGCAAAAGCTCCTGCCAAATCGCTATCCAGAATTCAAAAGAAAAAAAAAAAAAAAAAAAAAATTCTGAGTTATTGCCTTGCGAGCACTTAGTTTTTCTCGCCTACCTAACTCCTGTTTGCTGCTTCCATTGTTTTAAATGTAACTGCATATATAAAATTGTGGGGGGTGCAGACTGCACACATCATGCTATGTGATGAGCTTTCAAAGAATTATTTTATGTCCTTTAAAAAAATATTATGCTTTAACTATCAAGCTAGTTGTGATTTGCAAGAATTCTAGTGATCTATGCAGCATTTTGTTTGGCCATGATAAAAAAGTGCATTGATGCTTTTACTAACCAAGTAGTCATCCCATATCATCCATAAGTAGTAGCCATCCACAACTAAATAAATCATCATCATCATATATATATATATATATATTGTTGCGTTTTTCTCTGTCACCAGTTGTTACGTTATTTTCTTCCTTCACGTTCGTACGGGGTTCGTGTGGATTTGAAGTGAATAACGAGGACACTTGATGAAATATCGAAACACACTTTATTTACCAATATTAATCAAATAGCTCCAAAATCACTTTTACAGTCGTCGAACTGTTATAACCACGCTGACACTTTCAGCGACACAGCCTTCACACTGTCAGGCAATAACGGTGGAGACAGCTTCACTGCAAAGCACGAGAGTACAGCTCCCGACTCTGCTTGGTCGTTCTCGGAACTCCAGGTACTCTCCAGACTCTCCACGCTACAACTCGCGATGCACTCGACGATACACAAGAGTACAGCTCTCGACTCAGCACAGTCTAAGACAAAACTCGACTAAAAGACTCTCTCGATGCACTCGACGACCAACTCGGTGCTAGACTTCGAGAAACTCGCTCAATGACTATCAGCTCGCTAGACGACGCACACACTAACTGACTGCGGACTAGCAGGGTTTATATAGCTTTCGGCTTGTGTTCGAGAACATTCTGGGCTAAACCGGTAAGAATTCGTTCCAGAAGGTTCTCTATCCGTCCATGGTATACTGCCAGTTTTGTCACCAAATGGGCGATTCCTCGCCAAATGTGGCAACCCTGAATCTGCTTTGTGGGAAAGCCATCTTACCACGCCTGTACATTTCATAACACTGCCCCCTTCCAAGGACTGCACGTCCCGGGCAGTTTTATTTTTATATTTTTAAATATTTTGCTCATCTCATTGATTCAATAAATACTTACGTTTTGTTCTAAAAGCATTTTTGCATTTAAATAAAATTTTTTATTCCAAATAATTTTAAATTAATTTACATTGTGTAGGGGAATTTTTCATATGCATACGAGTATGCTAAATTTGGGGAATTAAATATTTATATTTAATTTAATTTCTTCTTTCGATATGCATATGCATAGCAAGGACGAAACACAATGTCTAAACAGTTGAAAGGAATGTCGTCAAACGGTCGCCAAGTTTAGCGATTTTTGGTCCAGTCCCTGCAATTATGTGTTTGAATAACTGTAATTGATGTTCTGTGTAACTGTAACCACATTCCGTATTCATATGCCTTCCAGTAACTTTGAGAAGATACTAAGGTGGTTTGCTGGGGTTCTACTGCTTAAAGCAGTACTTCCCAGTAACATAAGAGATTTCTCGAACGGCATGATTTTGAGAGGAACTCAGGTACATCCAGAAATAGGAGAAACATCAGGTAGAAGCTAGAAGAGAAAAAGTCTATAAGGAGATCGTGCACGTGTCGCCATCTGGTGGCGGTGGCAGTGGTGAGGGAGAGCTGGGATTTAGTCTGTCAAGAGCCGGGATCAGGAGCTGGCGAATCAGGAGTGAGCTTGGTTCTTGGGAGCAGCAACGCGGACCTGCGAGAAATATCAGTAGCATGGCGGTGATGGGCAGGAGAGATGGATGTAGCAATGATAATTTAAATAACTTTGAGAAGCAGAAAGTACTAGGAATATCAACAAACGGGTGGCCAACTTTGGCGAGATTTGACGATTTCTCTCCATATTGGGCAACAAAATTTAGTCGCCAAAACCTTTGCCAGCTTGGCAATATTTCGCCAAATTAGTGAGATAGCCATTTACTCAATGTTAAGTAGATTTGTTCCTGTATTCTTATTTTTCCGGCAGAGCATCATTTCTCTCAGCTTTGCGTGTTACATTAGGCAGAAAATTGCAACAATTTTACATATAATTTCACTACAATTATCTAGCTATCGACAAAATTCGTAATAATACAGGGTATTTATAAAGTCCTGGACCCATTTTGATGTTTAATAACTCATAAAATAATAAAGATAGATTAAAATTAATAACATAATTGGTTAGATAGACTCAAAAAGTTTCATGACCCTTGTCAATGAACTTCCACGTGTGCCCCCTTCGTCGCACGAGAATATCAAGTAGATATTCAATTTCACGCCAGGTACCGGCAAGCATGTCGGCATCCACAGAGGCTATTGCGGTTGTAATTCTGGCTTTTAGGTCATCAATGTTCAACACTCTCCTCCTGTAAACGTTTTCCTTTACAAATCCCCAAAGGAAAAAAGTCCATAACATTGCAATAGTTGCCAAAAACAAAAGAGAAAAATGTAATTAATAAGCAGACGATATTTAGAAAAGTACAGATATTTAGACTGGAAAAATGAAATTATCTGAAATTAACATGCGCGCAGACGATATTTACAAAAGTAAAGAATATTCAAACCTGAAAAGGAAAATATATAAGTTATTCCATCAATAAATGCCATAAGTTTGTTTATATCTTTGTTATTCTATGAGTTATTAAACATCAAAATGGGTCCGGGACTTTATACACACCCTTTATATACTATATACATAATGATTACGTAATATATAGATGGTGTGATACATTATATAACGGGTGGCCATAATTAAACTGACAGTGTTCACAGTGTTCTGCCGCGCGATCTATTTGCGAGAATGACGCCATATTTTGTAGGAAGATTAAACAAGACGGGGGACGAAGGATTCCGCGAAAAAAAATTAGTTCCAAAAGTCACCGCTAGGGGAATATTTGGCCCTGTGTAATAGTGGACCACATATTGCATTCTGTGCACAGTATGCACAACAGCAGAAAGTAACATGTCTGCAGGAATATCCCGTACTGTCCGTGATATATTATCCTTCAACGTAGCCAGGTCCTGGACTACTCCTTGATAGACCTTGGACTTAAGGTAACCCCATAGCCAGAAGTCGCATGGGTAAGATCAGGCGACCGAGGTGGCCATGCAGTTGGAAAGTAGGGGCTAATGACTCTTTCTGTTGTGAATTTCTGTCGTAGCATCTGTTGCACCCGTACAGCAACGTGTGGAGGGGTTCCATCTTGCATTAAAATGATTTCCCCCGGGCATTGTCTTTGCTGAAGTGCCAGAATGGCAAAGCTGTTCAACATGTAGCGATATTTCTCTCCGGTAACAGAACAGGTTTCCGGTCCTGTCGGGGTAATGTTCTCATAGAAGAATGGATCTACGATAAATTCCGCTGTGAACCCACACCAAACAGTTACCTTAGGTGAATGTAAGGGAATTGCTGTGACTGCATGTGGTGATTTGTCATCCCAAGTTCGGCAGTTCTGGGTATTCACAGTTCCATTCAGGTAAAAGTGGGCCTCGTCTCCCCATAAGATCATCCATCACGGCCAAGCATCATCCACCTCCATTCTGGCAAGAAAGGTGAGAGCAAAAGTCAATCGCTTATGGTGTTGGTGTATTTAATTATGGCAAAGCACACGAGAGCTATCTGCCTAAGGGGAGGGATGCCTTCGTGGAGGACTTTCTAAGAGTCAATCGCTTATCATGGTCGGGGTACAGTAACTCCTGTACACGGCTGATCTTGTACGGATAGAAGTTGATAATCTTTCGTAAGGTTTTCCATACCGTACTGTAAGGCATATCCATATTCCATAAGGCATATCCATAATAAAAGGTAATTTTATTCCGCATTAATTTGCATTTGTTAACACTCTATTTTCTATTACACAGCGCCAAATATTCCCCTAGCGGTGAATTTTGGAACTAATTTTTTTTTTCGCGGAATCCTTCGTCTCCCGTCTTGTTTAATCTTCCTACAAAATGTGGCGTCATTCTCGCAAATAGATCGCGCTACAGACCACTGTGAGCACTGTCAGTTTAATTATGGCCACCCGGTATATATACATACATAAATACACTTAAGTCCACAGAAGTCCTTATCCCATATTTATTTTTGCAACCGTTGGTCGCAGACTATACTTTCAAGGACAGAAATTTTTTAATTGGCACAAGTAATCATATTGGGGCATTTTTTAAATTAAAAAAAAAAGTTTTGTGAAAATTCTGAAATTTAACTTCAAACAAACTCCTAATCCCTATACTTATGTTTAGGAAAATGTTGTACTCATTATAAAACATAAAAAGGTTGACTTCGATATGATAAAAATTGACTGAGATATTTAATTTCAAAATTTTGAATTTTTGATATTTTACTTTTACAAGAGGAGTCGGTTAATAGACAAATTAAAATAACTAAAGGTTTAATTTTTTTTCCCTTTAAATGCCATTCAATGATATTCTTTTTGTGATTTACTAGTGTCTTTAATTTTCAACTTTGTTTTTGTTTGCCAGAAAAATTGTCACACAAGTAATTTATAAATTTTCAGTCTAAAAATTCATTATTATTCTTATGAAGTTTACTTATTTTAGAATAATGACCGGTAATTGAAAAAAAATCATTAAATTGCAAGTATTTTTCATATTTAATTAATGTAAATAATGTCACAAGTTGACTATGTGCCAATATTGAAGTCTGCTAGTATCTTGTACAACACGAATTCTACAAGATTCTGTGAATAC